GCGGCGGGGAGGGCGATCACCCTGCCGCTTACTATGGTCTCGAGCCCCGCCGGCGCGCTAGCCTCCGCCGACCAATCCACGCTGCCCCCGCCCCCGCCGCGCCGCCCGCGCCGCCGCGCCGCGCCCGCGGCCTCGGCGTCCGCGCCAGCGCGGTCGCCGTCCGGCGCCGGCGGCTGCGAAGACGCCGCCGCTTCGCTTACGCCCTCCTCGCTGCCCTGCGAAGAGACACTGTTCCACAGCCGCACCGCCGCATCGACGCTCGCTGAGCGCCGCCGCGGCGGCGTCGCCGTGCCCGACGCCGACGGCAGCGCAGCGCCTGAGAATGAGCCGCCGCCGCCGCGGCTCACGCCGGGCGAGGAGCGGGACGCGGCGGCGGCCGCCTCGAAGGCCTCTGATATCAGGCGCACGCGACCGCGGCTGTCCGACGTCGACTCGCCTTCGCGCCGGCCCCCCTCTCCTACGCCCGGCCCCGCGACCGCCGCCGCCGCGGCCGCACGGACTGCGTCCCAGTCCTCTTCTGATAGAGACACGCGCGGCCGCCTGGGCGGCGCGCGGGCGTCGCCGCTGCTCGCGCTGCTGATCGTGATCCCAAAGCTGGAGGCGTCACTATGCACTAGCTCGTGGGCGTTGAGCGGCGGCGGGCGCTGCTCGTGCTGCCCCCGCGCCTCCCACTGCCGCTCCTGCTGCTGGTGCTGTTGTTGCTGCTGCTGCGGCTGCTGCTGCTGCTGCTGCAGCTGCAGCTGCTGCTGCCGCTGCTGCCCCTCCTGCTCAAGGTGCAGCAGCGCCGCCGCCGCCGCCGCCGACAGCATCACGGGCGCGCCGCCCCCTTGCCTCTCGCGGCCCCGCGCCGCCGCCGCCGCCCGCCACGCCCCCTCGTCCTCCACCCCCTCCCCCATCGGCCCGGGCCCGCCTTGCGGCGCCGCCCCCACCGCCGCGGCCGCCACCATCTCCCAGTCTTCCTCATCGCCGTCCGCTGCAGCCGCGGACGCCGCCGCCGCCGCGGCGCCGGCGGCGCCGCCCCTCGCGTTCAGCTGCATCGGGGCCCAGAACTGTCCGCCCTCCGAGCCCAGGCTCCCCATGTTGGCGCGCAGCGCCGCGTGCCCGCCTGCGCCGCTCGCGTCGCCGCTGAGCGCGTATTCTGAGCTCGCCCCCGCCTCGTGCGACGGCAGCAGCAGCGCGCCGCGCCGCCCGGGCGGGGACGGCTGCGTCGGCCCCTGGTGCGGCGGCCCCCGCCGCTGCCAGCCGTGCGCGGACTCCTCGGTCAGCGAGCCGACGGCGACCAGCCGCCCGCGGCGCGCGGCCGAGGGTATCGGCGCAGCCTCGGACGGGCGCCAGAAGCCCCCGCCGGCGTGGCCCGCGGGCAGGACCACCATCGGTAGCGAGCCGTCCGTCGCGCCCGTGGCGTTCACCGACGGCAGCGACGGCCGGTCGCCGAAGGGCGCCGGCGCCGGCGGCGCCGGCGCCGGCGCCGGCGGGTCGCCTTGGATGACGGCGTTGATGCGGTCGAGGTTGCTGCGGCGCACAGGCGGCTGCTGCGGCTGCTGCAGCTGCAGGGGGCCTCGTTGGTCCAACTGGGCCCGCCCGTCCCGCGGGGATGCGGCGGGGCGGCGGCTGGGGTGGTCCAGAACAACGATCTTTGCCGACTCCGAATTTGCGCCCGTCTGCGACGACGCGCGGCCTCCGCCGGCCCCACCGGCCCCGCCCCCGCGCGCGCCGCCGCCGCGCAGCGCGCCGGCGGCGGCGGAGCGGTCCGACGCCGCTGCGTCGGCGCCAATGACCGCGTCGATGCGCATCAGGTTGCTCGCGCGGCCGTGGGCGCCGCCGGCGCCGGCCACGTGCTGCTGCTGTTGTTGCTGCTGCTGCTGTTGCTGCTGCTGCTGGTCGATCACGACTACATTGCCTGCCGTCGCGGTCGCCCGCTCGCTGACGTCAGCATACACGTAATCCTCCCCTTCCACCGCCACAGCCGACGCCCGCGACTCGTCGGGCGGCCCTGCGAGAAACCGCCCCGTGAGGCGGCCGCCATCCCAAAACTGCCGCGGTGGCGGCGGCGGCGCCGCGCCGGCGGCGGCGCCGTCGGCCCCGTCCTCTTCCTCGCCCTCCTCCGCCATAGCAAGCAGCCAAGCAGGCGCCTCCGCGGCCGGCGCTGGAGCCGGCGCCGCCGCCGCCGCCGAAGCGGGTGGCGAGGTGGCCGCGCCTGCCCCGAGCTCCCCTTGCCGCGGCTGCGCCGAACTCACCCTCCCGGCCGCGCCTGGCGGCGCGGCGGCCGCCCCCGCGAACGCCGAGCTCCCGCCGCTGCCGCTGCCGCCGCCGCCGCTGAAAGTCGCGGCGCTGCCGGGCCAGCCGCCGCCGCCGCCACCGCCAGGCACCTCCTCCTTTGCGCCAAACGTGACCTGCTGGCCCAACTGCTGCAATTCAAAGGCGGTGAGCAGGCAGAAGCTCGCGTCCGCCACCGCCTGCCCGTCCCCCATCGCCATCCCGCCCATGCCCGCGCCGAGCAGCGCGCCGCCGTGCCCGGTCGTCCCGCGGCTGCTGCCGCCCCCGCGGCCGGCGGCGGCGGCGGCGCCGGGCCAGCAGCCCGCGCCGGTGCGGGCCGCGCGGCCGAGGAAGCCGCTGCCGCCCGGGTACGCCTGGAGAGCGGTGCCGCGGCTGCTGCTGCCGCCGCGGTCCTCCGCGCTGCCCGTGCCGCTGCTGCCGCCTCGCAGGCGGCCGGCCCGGTCCCTGCCGCCCATGCCGCCGCCGCCGCCGCCGGATGCGGCGGCGGACGCGTTCTGGCACATGTGTACGAGGGCGGTGCGCGCCTGGGGGCTTATGTAATCCCAGGCGTGGTCGACCAGCCGCCCATCGACGCCCTCCAACACATCAAACCCCTGAGAGCCAGGTTGGGGGTGGGGAAGGGGGCAGGGGGCAGGCATGGTCAGCTCTTGGGTGGTGGTTGCTGCGGTCGGAAGGGAGGGGCAGCCGCGCGTTCAAAAGGGGCAACAGCGCAGGGGCGCGCAGCTTGTTGCAATCGGCGACAGCCTTGTGTTTGTGCGCTTGCGGCAGGCAAGCTGCTGCACACAAATTGCGACTCAGGCCCTGCATCCACAGTAGGCCCTGCATCCACAGTAAAGGGAGCCCCGCCGCCGCGGCCGCACCCGCTTCGCAACCGGCACGCCTCCCGACGCGAGCGGCGCCGCCGCCAGCAGCCGCGCGGCGCCGCAGACGATGCTGGACGGCGTGCGGCGCGCCATGCCGTCCGTGACCTTCCGGGGCAGGCCTGACAGCTCGCGCCGCACGCGGGCGGGCAGCTTGGTGAAGCCAGACAGGGCGGCCTCAGAGACGCACGCATCCAGGTGCCCCAGGCTGGCCCCAGAGGCCTGTTGTGGGAGAAAGGGAGGCAGTGGGGGGCGCAATTGAGGTTGCGGCCGGTTGCAGGGGGCGGGGGAGGGGGGCCGAGGCAGGCGCGACAAGGCAGGAGGTTGGAGCGCAGCGAGGGGGGTGCGCGAAGCGCGGTGTTGGGGGGTGGGCCGTCGGTTGTGCTGTTTCCTGGAGGCACAGGCGGAGGGATTAGAGGCGCCCTTGCAAGCCCCGCGCCCTCGCGCCCAGCGCCCCCCCGCTGCCGGACGGCCCCAGCGCCGCCGCAGGCGCGCCCGGCCGCCCCCTCCGCGGCCCGCAGGCCCGCGCTGGTGCCCAGCCCGTACCGCCAGCCGCCACCGCGCGTCCGCCTCAAAGCTCTCGTGCACCAGCGCCTCCGCTATGCTGGCCAGCTCGTCACTGGGCACGCCGCCGGCCAGGTGGCCCGTTGAGTGGACCTCGGACGCCCAGGAGCCCTTGGGGGGGTCCACGGCCGCGTACACGTCGAGCGTCCGAGGCGCGCCGCGCGCCTTGGACTGCGCGGGGCCAGCCATACCCAGGGCGAAGAACTGCGAGGCGGGGTGTCAGGGGGTGTGCGGAGCGGTGTGTGAGTTCAGCAGCGCCCCTGAAGTTGGGGGGCGGCTGCCGGCTTTGTTTTGAGGGACATGCGATGTGCAACAGGGGGCTGCTGCATGCCAAGTGATGAGGGAGCAACCGAGGCACTCTCGCTGCCTGGCACACAGGTGCACCCACTTGCACACCACAATCGCGGGTAAGCGGATGCGCGACTCAACCCACAACCCCCGCGCCCCACACATTCGCCCTACGCGCTCTACCCTCAACGTCAACCAACCTGAGGCGGGCACCCCTCAGGGTTGAGCGCCCTGAACGGCACCACCCAAAGCCGTATGCGGCCGCTCTTCAGCCCCTGGATCGTCGCGCCCAGGAGCTGCTCCGCCTCTGGGTACGCGGCCGCGTACAGCTCAGCCCCGCGCGACACCTTGCCGCCCTGCGCCTTGCCCGACCCCTTCCTGTCGTCCCCGCCGCCGCCCGCCCGCCGCGGCGCGTCGAGCGACTTGCGGCGCACGGCCGGCGGCGCCGCCGCGGCCGCCTCTGCGGCGGCGGCGAGCGCGGCGCGTCGGGACTCCAGCAGCTGCAGCAGCTCCTTGCCCAGTGCGTCCCCGGGGTCGACCCTGACAGGCGGCGCCGGCGCGTCGTTGCGCATGCGGTAGGCGGCCGCCGCGGCCTCGCAGCGGTTGACCAGCGTGTTTGACAGCGCCGACTGGCCGGCGCAGGTGCCCAGGAGGCGGTGGCAGCCGGACAGGGAGATGAGGGGGCCGCTCCTGAATGGGCAAGGGGATGGTGGGAGGACACCGGGCGGGGCACGATGCGAGTCAGGTTGGGGCTTTGTGCAGGGCAAGCGCCACAAAGGCAGCATGCAGCCCAATGTTTGGGAGCACAGGGCAAGGAAACAAGAAGCCACTTCAGATCAGGTCGGGTAAGATCTCCTGACCCACCTGTTGAGCTTCTTGCGGAGCTGCGTCAGGGCGGCCGAGATCTGCCTCGTCAGCGTGAGGGCGAGGTACAGGCCCCCCGCCAGCATGACAGCCACCGCCGGCATGAATTCGTTGGACCGCGGCACCTGAAATGGTTCAAAAATTGCAGGTTCCATTCAGGTGTTTAACCATTCAGGTGCACAGCAAGGTCTACTGTGTGGGTGGCAGGCTGGGCGGACGGGAGGTCTTGTGAGCGCCCCGTCGCGAGCGACGTGGCGGCGGTTGCGACCTTGCTTAGATGGCAGCAGCGGCTGGGCGCGCGCTGAGGCCAGCAGCGAAGCGGGCGAGGGGCCGCAAATGGGGCAGGGGGGCAGCAGCAAAGGCGGGGCAGGACGGGAGGAGAGGCGCTGCATCTGCGGCGGCCACACCTTGGCGCCCAACGTGGCGAGCAGGATGCAGGCGGTGGCCTGGGCTGTGGCCATGGAGACAACCACCTGGTTTGACAAAGAGGATGAAGGTGGGAACAGATTTCGCGGGTCAGACGATCAACATTGTGCAAGGTGCGTGGGTTGCATGCACTTGCGGGCTTCAGAGGGTTGCGGGGCAGCCGTGAGGACGAGGCGGCGCCAGCTGGCGGAGATCGACGCACGTGTCGCCTGCTCCGGGGCAGCCGTGAGGAAGAGGCGGCGCCAGCTGGCGGAGATCGACGCACGTGTCGCCTCCTCCCTGCCAAACAGGCTGCTGCTTCACGCCCCGCTGCACCCTCACCCGGAGACCTCCCGCCCCAACACACACGCGCACGTGCATACACCCACACCCACACCTACACCCACACCCAACCCCACACCCACACCCACCTGCACACAAACACATACCCATGCGCCCGTACCCGCACCCCCCCCCCAAACACATGCACACACACGCGCACACGCACCTGCTTCATGCGGACCGCGTTGCCCATGATGAAGTTGAACCCCACCACCAGGTACAGGGCGTACCCGACAGCCATCAAGGTGTAGCACAGCAGGGGGATGCGCGCGCCCCAAACGATCTGCATGCGCACACGCGGGCATGTGCGTGAACGGCGGGCGCGGTGGAGGATGGTGAGAAGGGATGTGCCAGCTCCGCGCAGGGCAACGGGCGAGCCAGTGTCCAGGCATGTGCGCGCCTAGGCAAGCTCAAGAGCAGGGCGCCGCAAGACGCGCGGTTGTGCCCACGCTCCACTTGCATCCCCGCCGGTGACAAGGAGCAAACAGCCCAGAACGCCGACCCGGCTGCGACGACATCTGCCCCCGCTTCCAGCACCGCACGAGTCCGATGCATCGTCGCCGAACGGCCTCCACGCCCGCGCACAGCCGCGAGGCCCCCTGCCTGCAAGTCGCAACCCGCTCACCACCCCGCGGGCCCACCAACAACACACCCTGGAGCCCACTAAACCCTGATCAACCAACAAGTGCCCCAACCCACCAGAAGGTACTCCTGTATGCTGTCCGCCCTCGCCTGCGACCTAGCCACAGTGATCATCGCCACGATCAGCAGCCCAAACAGCCACACGCCCAGCTGCCACAGCGCCATGCGGCCCAGCTGCCGCCAGTAATCGACGCTCCCAGAGTCTGCCTTAGCGGCGTCCCTCTCTGCGCGCACGGGCGTGAAACCGAGGCCGCAGCCGTAGAAGTAGGACGGCCCCCGCGGCACGCAGCGCGCGTGCGGCGGCGCGACGAGGAAGCGAAGGCAGTCCGAGCAGGCCGAGCAGCAGCCGGCGACGCCGCAGCGCGCGCAGACCGCGGAGGACTGCGGCTCGGGGGGCGGGCCGCCGTCGCCGTCGGCGTCGCCGTCCGACGCGTCGGCGGCCTCGGGCGCGAGCGGGTGGCGAGGCACCTTGGGGCGCCAGCTTTTCGAGAGGGCGGCGGCCTGCGCCTGCATCTCCACGGCGGCCGCCGCGAGCGCCGAGCGCTGGGCTGCGCTGAGCTCGGGCTCTCCCTTTTTGGGGGAGAGCGGGGGCGCGGGGCACGGGTGGGGGTGAGGGGTGATTGGGACCGGGGCCAGGGCATAAGGGTGGTCCTCGAGGGAAGGTGCAGCTGAAGCTGCAAGATGCAGCTCGCCGGAAAGACGTCGCAAGCCCAAGCCAGCGGTTGCCGATTCGAGGCGCCAGGGCCCCGCAAACAAGAGAACCCGCAACCAGTAAGGGTCCACGGCCTCGTGGGTTTGGCGCGGCCCATGGGGTCGGGGGGGCGCCCTAACCCACCTGCGACATCAGCGCGACGAGCCATTCCAGGTAGGCCCCCGACAGCATGACAAACAGGGAGGCCATGACCAGCGGCACGCTGTTGGCGCCCAGCCACTCGTTGCCGAGCCACAGCTCGCTGCGGCGCGGGGAGCGGGGGCAGGCGGTCGAGTCCCGTGCGGCAGCAGGGGTTCTTGTCAGGGGGTTTTGCATGAGCGGGGGTTTCTACACCTCGCAGCTGTGCATAGTTTGAGTTCAACAGCTGCGACGGCGGCGGCAGCAGCAGCAGGCGGCGCGTTGTGCGATCCCAAATGAGTTTTCTTGCTGGAGGCAGCAGGGATGAGACCTCTGCCAGGGTGGCTGCCGTTAGCGTTGATGCGAGACTGTGCAATCAACTTGAAACATGCTTGGTTCAAACGTCGCCGGGCTTGGCGGCGTTGACTGGCGTTGACTGGCGTTGACTGGCGTTGACTGGCGACCGCCAGCCGCCTCACCTCGTCCAGAAGGGGATGGTGACCATCAGGTGGGTCAGGGAGCCGGCCGGCAGCACCCAGGCGGTGTTGTCGTAGAACAGGGGCAGCCGCAGCCGCCGCAGCGCCTGGTTTCAAAGGCAAGGGGCGTGCGAGGCGGGGGGGAGGGGGTCGGCTGCGTATGAGAGTTGCTGACAAGACTGGGCTCTTTCGCGAGCTGTTGAGCCCACGTGTCACAATCCCTTCTTGCAAGCCCCCAGCCAGCCAATCGAGCGGGCCTGAGTCAGCCCCGCCCCTCGACACCCAAGCCCTGAACCCTGAAACCATGCTCGGGCAGTACCCCAAGCGCCGCCAACATCGCCCAACGCCCCCTTGGGCCGCCCCCTCACAATGAGCTTCTTGACCAAGAGGCCCCCCGCGCTGGCCACAGCGCGCGCCAGGTCCTCAGCCGACGAATCCGGGGTGTAGTCGGTGACGAAGGTGGCGTTGTGGAACGATAGCATGAGCATCAGCGCAGGGCGGCTGGGG